CACGTTTCAAAATTAAAATGCAGCGCGGGTGTATATGAATATATAATTGAAAAGAACCGACCGTCTTCAGAAAAGCTTTGATGTCATTTTCATTTCGTCTTTCCTGTAATGCCTGATGAGCAGCGCTTATTTGATTACAGCCGTTACCGGGGAAACCGCTATATCTCCAGCTCCCAAAGCGCCTCCTGCTGGCAGAGAATTAATTTGCAGTCTGTGGGAAACACTGGTGTCTGTCAGCAAACGTAAACAAAAAGCATCCTTCAGAACTGTTTTGAGAAGGTGCTTAAGTTTTGAGCCATGTATTATTACTCTAAATTGGGCTACTACTACCATTACTATCTTGTACCCTGCAATAATCATTTGCTCAAACTCACTTTTATAATATCTTCATTTGTGTTTTGAAGATCTGAAAAAAAGTTATTCCGGTTTGAAATGACATCAGAGTAGGTAAATTAATTTTCATTTTGTGCACATTATTCCTTTAATTGGCCTGAGCTATATATTGGTCTGTCTCCACAAATTATTAATGACTTTTTCCATGGAGGTTTATTATGAATTTCTATATCTTTGTCTAACCGAAATATATTTGCATGGTAGAAATATTGCACTGTTGTCTCCCCACAGAGTGTCTTTTAATACAGTTGAAGTGGCACGCAATGCACCATGGAGGAGGCCCACCAAAAGTGCAGAGGAACCTTCAGAGATCCAAGTCCTTCACTGGATCTGAGACAGAAGACCAACAGCAGCATCAACAACCACCACAGCAGCCCAAACAAAAACAGCAGCAGCCCATGCCGGTTACCCAACAACAACCAGCAAATGCCAATCACCCCCAGTCACCGGTGACATCTTTTGCTCCGTCCGCCAGTCCCTCTGCTCCACAGTCTCCCAATTACCAATTCATCATGAGTCGGAGTCCGGTCACAGGCCAGAACATGAACATCACTTTACAGAACGTGGGACCAATGGTTCCTGGGAGCCAGCAGATCACCCTTGCCTCTCTTCCTCTCCAGAGTCCAGCATCCCCTGGCTTTCAGCACCAGCCCCAGCAGTGGAGGTTCGAATCCGGGTCTTCGTCTTACGTGGTGACATCACCCTTGCCCCAGACAATGCAGCCTCAAAGTCCGACCCAGCACAGTCCGGTCCCTATACAGGCTGTGCCCAGGCCGAGCGCTCCTGGGTCGGCTCTGGGAGTGTGCGGTCAGAGCCCGACGCGGTTTGTGGAGGGAGGTATAATGGTTAGGCAAATCAACTTGAGCAGCCCACCTGGAAGTGGTCATTTTGTGTACCAGGATGGAACAGGATTGGCTCAACTGGCTCCGACAACGGCAGGTGCCGTTCAGCTGACCTCACCTGGGACACCAGGGGCTGTCAGAGAAAGACGCCTGTCCCAGCCGCACTCTCAAACCGGGGGCACCATTCACCATTTGGGGCCGCAGAGCCCTGTTGCGGCAGGGGCTGCTCTCCCGACGTTGGGCAGCCCTGGGCACATCACCACCTCCAATCTGCCTCCTCAGATCAGTAGTATCATCCAAGGCCAATTAGCTCGTCCCATGATTTTTGAGAAGATGGCGCAAGGCGTTGTGGCTGGTGTGGCGGCCTCTTTTGGGGTCACATCCACCATCCCTCCATCCAGCCCATCCAGGGGCAACCCTCCCCAGGGCCTGACCAACCAGTCCCTGACTCCCACCAGCATGAAGAAGATGCAGCCGAAGAAGCTGGAGGAGATTGCACCCTCAAATCCAGAAGTGGCGCAGTTGAGGAAGCAGTGTCTGGAGCATCATGCAAAGAAGATGGAGAGTCTGAAGGAGGTGTTCAAGGATTACCTGATTGAGCTCTTTTTCCTGCAGCATCTGCAAGGAAACATGATGGACTACCTTGCTTTCAAGAAAAAGCCCTGTGTGCCTCTCTTCACCTACCTGAGGCAAAATGATCTTGACCTTGAAGATGAAGAGGAGGAGGAAGAGCAGTCTGAGGTCATCAATGATGAGGTAAAACATGTGTTTTGCTCTTACCTACAATATGTTTTCAAATATGCCAAAGTTAAATTTTCAGCAGCCGTAATAGTGGTCTAATATAAAAATAAATCATTATTATTTGCAAATTTGCTGCTCGAGGAAAACATTTCTTATTATCAGTGTTGAAAACGGTTGTGCTGCTTCATATTTTTTTAGGGTTATTTTGATAATTTTTTTTATTTATGAATAAAAATATAAATCTT